GGAGAATTGCCTGAACCCAGGAGGCGGAGGTTGCGGTGAGCCGAGATCGCGCCATTGCACTCCAGCCTGGGTAACAAGAGTGAAACTCCGCCTCAAAAAAGAAAAAAAAAAGATTACCTAAACAATATATATATAAGATGAAGTTATGATGGATTTGAGTACATGAGAATAAAGAATTCCTTTTCAAAAACTCCCCAAAAAATCATATAAACAAAATGTGGGACAAAGGAATGTACATGACGTGTTTGAAGAAACCTGGCAGTACAGTTTGACTAGAATATAAAGTGTGAATCACAGAGCTGTGAGATGTCACCACTAGCCCTTCTTCCCACCACCACTATAATCTCAATCTGGGATTCCTTGAGCAGATGAAATGGCATAATACTGGTAAAGTGTTCTGCATAGGGCCCAGAACATGGCTGAACACAAAAAAGCAAATTTCATCAATAGGTTATTAAGGCCCATTTGCTGGCTTTGTGGCATGTAGTGTGTTTTTACAACCTTAGCGATGCTGGTGTTTCTGAATGTAGCCCTTCTTCTTGCTGTCACCACAATCCCATTCCCATTCCCAATCCCAGATCCACATCAAAAATATGCAGTGTCGATTTGTTTGGGGTTTTTTTAAGGTTAACATAGTAATTATTATACATTAAGGTTAATATACAAAATGGACTGTGAGAAAAATAAGGGAGTCTAGGTAACCTGTTAAAAAAATTCTGGATTAGCTGGGGTGGGAAATGGAAAAACAAAGTGAAAAACAAAATGGAAAAGATACTAAAAAGATATCTAAGAAAGTGACTTAAAAAGTAACAGAACCACTGACAGAAGCAGTCACAGCACTGACAAAATGTTTAACGGAATCACGTAAGTGCTTAGTGCCACTCATTCATAGTAGGTATTCAGTCAGTGTTTTGTTTTGTTTTGTTTTGTTTTTTAAAAAAAAACAGCTCCAGTGAGATAAAATCAGAAAATGAACAAGTGAAGACATAACTAAAGGTTTACGCAAAACATTATCTTTTTCAATTCCAACATTCTAGGTCACCTAGGTAGAGAAGAAACTGAAACAATAAGGGAATGAAATTCCCAAAGAAAATGAGTGTATAGCACAAAGAGCCAAGTACATTTAAGACCTTAATTTATGAACTGGATAAAGAAATGGTGGAGAAAGAATAGCCAAAGAGGCAGGACAGTTAGAACATCATTGCAAAGTCTTAACAGAGGAGCCACCTGTGTTATAGAAAGCTACAGAGGTGAAGAAGGAGGAAAACTGGAGAAGGAATTTTGTAACATTAGAAAGCTGAGTGTCAATGGTATGTGTGTTTGGTGCAGAAAAAAAGTTAAAAATTTCAAATAGAGAAAATATGCCACAAAACATGGAAGAAACGACACAGCCTAACCTTCACAGGGTTTTGAGAAGGATAAAAGGCATATGTCTGGGTAAAGCACTAAAGGAGTACAAAGTGGTTTTAAATACAAGGTAAAATTATTTGTAGCCATTCCTCATACATATTCTCAAGTAAAAGAATAGTTAAAAAAAATTATAAGGACTTATTTTCTTTAAAGTGAGACGTATCAAAAAGTCTTTATCATTTAAAACATAGGTGTTATTCCCAGGGTCTCGATATCATGTCTGAACACATATATCAAAATTATATATATCTAAGACACAGTAAAACTTTAAATAAAGAAATAACAATACTAATTTTCCTTCCTCCATGTAATGAGTTTGTTTTTAAGGCTGTGAAAATAGACATGGGAATTCTACCGGAAGAAATATACCTAAAAACAACAGGGCAGTTGCATATCGTACTGATTCCTCCAAATGACTCCTAAGACCAGATAAATGACTTCAGTAAAGTTTCAAGATACAGGCCAGGTATGGTGACTCACACCTGTAATCCCAACACTTTGGGAGGCCAAGGCAGGTGGATCACTTGAGGTCAGGAGCGACAGACCAGACTGGCCAACACAGTGAAATCATCTCTACTAAAAATACAAAAAAAATTAGCCACGAACCATGCCTGTAACCCCAGATACTCGGGAGGCTGAGACATGAAAATGCTTGAACCCAGGAGGCAGAGGGTGTAGTGGGCCAAGACAACACCATTGCACTCCAGCCGGGGCAAGAGAGTAAGTTTCTGTCTCAAAAAAAAAAAAAAAGTTTCAAGATACAACATCAACATACAAAAATCAGTAGCATTTCTACAAACCAACAACATTCAAGCCGAGAACCAAATCAGGAACTCAATCCCATTTACGATAGACACATGCACACACACTCCTACACATATCTAGAATACATTTAACTAAGGAGGTGAAAGAACTCCGTAAGAACTGCAAATCCCTGATGAGAGAAATCATACATGATGCAAAGAAATGGAAAACTCCATGTTCATGGATTAGAAAAATCAATATTGTTACAATGACCATACTGCCCAAAGTAATATACAGATTCAACACAATTTCTATCAAATTACCCACATCATTTTCCATAGAAGTAGAAAAACAATTCTAAAATTCATATGGAACCAAAAAGAGCCTCAACAGCTAAAGCAATCCTAAGCAAAAAGAACAAAGCTAGAGGCATCATATTGCCTGACTTCAAACTATAAGTGAAAGACTACAGTGGCCAGGCGCAGTGGCTCACACCTGTAAACCCAGCACTTTGGGAGGCCAAGGTGGACAGATCACTTGCGGCCAGGAGTTAGAGACCAGCCTGGCCAACATGGTGAAATCCTCTCTACTAAAAATATAAAAATTAGCCAGGCATGGTGACTTGCACTTGTAGTCTTAGCTGCTTGGCTGCCTGAAGCATGAGAACTGTTTGAACCTGCGGAGGCAGAGGGTGCAGTGAGCCAAGACTGTGCCACTGCACTCCAGCCTGGGTGTCAGAGCAAGACTGTCTCAAAAAAGAAAAAAGACCACAGGAACCAAACAGCATGGTTCCAGTACAAAAATAGACCAATGGAACAGAGAACCCAGAAATAACACCACACACCTACAATCAACTAATCTTTAACAAAGCTGACAATAATAAATAATCAGGAAAGGACACCCTATTCAATAAATGGTGCTGAGTAAACTGGCTGGCCACATGCAAAAGAATAAAATTGGACCTCTACTTCTCACCACATACAAAAATTAACTCAAGACAGATTGAAGACAAATGTAAAACCTCAAATTACAAAAATCCTAGAAGAAAATCTAGGGAATACTCTTCTAGACACTGACCTAGAAAAAATAATTTACTACTAAGATCTCAATAGCAAATGCAACACAAACAAAAACTGACAAAGGGGACTTTAAAAGCTTCTGCACAACAAAAGAAACACTAAACAGGCTGGGCACAGTGGCTCACACCTGCAATCCCAGCACTTTGTGAGGCCAAGGTGGACTGATCATTTGAGGTCAGGAGTACGAGGCCAGCTTGGCCAACATGTTTAAACCCCATCTCTACTAAAAAAACAAAAACTACCCAGGCATGGTCACGCACGCCTGTAATCCTAGCTACTCAAGAGGCCAAGGCAGGAAAATTGTGTGAAACAAGGAGGCGGAGATTGCAGTGAGCAGAGATTGAGCCACTGCACTCCAGCCTGGTAATTAGAGACTCTCTTTAAAAAAAGAAAGAAAGACACAATAAACAGAGTAAACAGACAATCTATAGAATGAGAAAAAATATGTGCAAACTATGCATTTGACAAAGGACTAATATCTAGAATTTATAAAGAACTTAAATCAACAAGAAAAAAACTCATTAAAAGTGAGCAAAGGACATCAACAGACACTTCGTGAAAGAAGACATACAAGCAGCCAACAAACATAAAAACACTCAACATCACTAATCAGAGAAACGCAAATCAAAACCACAATAATTACCATCTCACACCAGTCAAAATAGCTATTACTAAAAAGTCAATAAATAACAAATGTTGGCAAGGATGCAGAGACAATGGAATGCTTATATACTATTGATGGGAATGTAAATTTGTTCAACTTCTATGGAAAACAGTATGCAGATTTCTCAAAGAAATAAAAATAGAACTTCCATTCAACCTAGCAAACCCCTACTGGGTATCTAACCAAAGGAAAAGAAGCCATTTTATATCAAAAAGACACCTGCACTCGTATGCTTATTGCACCACTATTCACAACAGCAAAGTCATAGAATCAACCTAAGTGTCCATCAATAGTAAACTGAATAAAGAAAATGTGATACACACCATGAAATACTACACCAACTAAAAAAATGAAATTATGTCCTTCGTGGCAACATAGATGCAGCTGGACACCAGTATCCTAAGCGAATTAACACACAAAGAGAAAATCAAATCCTGCATGTTCTCACTTAGAACTGGGAGCTAAATGAAGGGTTCAGAAAGAGATAAAGATGGAAACAACAGACACTGGGGACTCCATAGGGAAGGGAGGGAGAAGAGCAAAGCTCGAAACACTATCTATTGGGCACTGTGTTCACTATTGGGTGATGGGTTCAATAGAAGCCCAAACTCTGGCATTATGCAATATAACCATGCCACAAACTTGTACATATTCTCTCCGAATTTATCATAAAAATTGTTTTAGAAACAAAACAAAACAAAACCCTAAAAACTTAAAAGATATATATGCATAAAATATACAAACCATGTAATAGTTTTATTTCTATTTCTTAATCAGGCTAATATGCTTCATATCCGAAAAAAGAAATTTAGAGTATTTTCAAAAATCCAAATTTTAAAAATGAGCTTGACTCTTTAACTCATGAAAGCCTTCAGTTAAAATGATTTTAAAATACTCCCTTTTTATAGAAGTTTAAAATGTGATGCAATTTCCTAAAATGTACCTATGCATAACTTTTAATTGTAAAAAGTAATCCTCAAAGAGCAAATTTGTACAAGAACAATAAAATGGCTTCAAGTTACACCAAACTATAGCAAAATGGGAAAATGAAAACTATACATCAGGTTCACTATAAACATTTAAGGGCATAAAATTTCACTTACTTTTTTAAACATAACTAGTGAGATGACTGCTGATGCTGTGAAGAGTGCTGCTATGATTATCATCATGATTCCAACAGGAATACTTTTGTTGAGACCAGTAAGGGATGAAATCCAACCACTACAGAGTAATAAAAAGTGTAATTAGACAAAAGTTAATGTATACGTTATAAAAATAGCATAATATCTAACACATACTCAACACTTACCAACGAGGCAATGTTCAAGTTCTTTATGTGTAGTAGCACATTTAATTCTCACAACCCACCCAACAGGATAGATGCTGTTTTAAATCCCTATTTTACAAATGAGGAACTGAGACATTCAGTAACTTGCCCAAAGTCACACAGCTTATAATGGCACAGTTTGAATTCAAAAGCAAACCAAACTCCAGATGCTCAAGTGTTTTAATTCCAGAATGTATGTTTTTCAAGCTGAACAATTTTTAAGCTTATGAGTTTATTACTACATTTTTTAAATGTTTATTTTAAATTCTGCTGAATGATGGAAGAAAATATTTGTAAACAATTTATCCAACAAAGGATTCACATCTAGAATACACAGAGCTTTCAAAGCTCAACAGTACATAAAAATTATTAAGAAAACGGATAAAAGACAGAAAGAGACATTTTACCAAGAGGATATAAAGATGACAAATAAGCACCTGGAAAGATGTTCAAAACCACAATGAGGTATCACTACACACCTATTAAGATGGCTAAAATAAAAAGTAATGACCACCAAATGCTGGTAAGGAAGTAGAGACTAAATCGCTCATAACTGTTGGTGGGAGTGTAAAATAATATAGCTATTCTAGAAAACAGTTTGTTTCTTTAAAAAACTAAACATGTAACATCCATATAATCTACTAATTACATTCTTGGACATTTATCCCAGAGAAATGAAAATTATGTTCACACAAAAATCTATTCACAAATTTCATGGCAGCTTTATCTGTAATGGTCCAAAACTGGACACAATACAGATATCCTTCAACTGGTGAACAACTAAGTATCCTGTGATACATCCGTATAATAGACTACTACTCAAAAATAAAAAGAAGGCTGGGCACGTTAGCTCACACCTGTAATCCCAGCACTTTGAGAGGCCAACGTGGGCAGATCACAGGAGGCCACAAGTTTAAGACCTGCCTGGGCAACATGGTGAAACCCCATGTCTACTAAAAACAGAAAGATTAGCTGCGCTGGATGGCAGGCCCCTTAATCCCAGCTATTCGGGAGGCTGAGGTATGAGAATCATTTGAACCCAGGAGGCAGATGCAGTGAGCTGAGATCATGCCACTGCACTCCAGCCTGGACAACAGGGTGAGCCTCTGTCTCAATCAATCAACCGGAATAAACTAAAGATATGCATAACAACCTGTATGAATTTCCAGAAAATAACACTGAGTGAAAAAAGCCAAAGGTTGTAGACTATGATTCCAGGCCTATAACCTTCTTGAAATGACAAAAACAGAAACGAAGAACACATTAGGGGTTGCCAGGGGTTAAGGAGTAGGAAAAGGAGAGTTTTAAGTGTGGCTATGAAAAAGCAACAAGAGGAATCCTCTGGCGATGAGAATGTTCCCTAACTTTACTATCAATGTCAAGATCTTGGTTTTTATATTTTACTATAGTTCTGCAAAATTACCACCATTGGGAGAAACTCGATAAAGGGTACCTGAGATCTCTTTGCATTCTTTCTTTTTTTTTTTATTTTTTTTTTAATTTTTTTCTCTTTGCATTATTTCTTACAATTGTATGTAAATCTAAGATTACCTAAAAATAAAATGTTTAATATAAAAAATCTGAATTATGTGAGGGTTTGTCTTAAAAAAGGTCAATTCTGTCTGCACCCTCATTAGCAGACTCTTTTTACGTTATTTAGACACATACATGCTGTTAGGCTCAGTTCTAGCATTTTCCCTATGTCTGTGCTAAAAAGCAAAAGAAATTACTTAAATTTCACAAGAATTAAAAAAAAAAAAACCTTGTGCTGTTAAAGTAAGCAGTGTATTTTTAATTAAACATTTAAAATGTTTCCTTTTCCTAAAATACCAAAAACTAGACACTATTTAAATTAATGAAAATTATTACTTTTTCTGAGAACTGATTTAAAATATCTATATAAATTCTCTCCATGTATTTATGCCTATTAGGAGCTCTGCAGAACTGCCAAGCATTATCTGACTGCCAATCACTACTCCAGTAGTAGCATACTAAATTTAAGTCTTCAGCACACTCTAATTAAATGCTAATTTCAATTTTGGTTTATGTACACAGTGCAACAAAGCTGCATCGCATATGCTTCTGGCATGTAAGAATACAGCTGAATGCAAGTCAGTATAAAAGAAAGATGAAGGGGACAGATAATTTTAGAGATGTGTACTCTTCCGCCCACCATTTCACTCAAGGAATGTTTGCAACAGAGTATAAAGAGATATCTAAATCTGCTATTACCTCATAGCCTGGGTCCAGATAGCCTCCATTTCTGAGGGTCCCCCATTGAATGAGCCATGATGAGAATGATTCTATTGTTTAAAAATATATGTATATCCGTGTGTGCAGTGATTCTACCTTTCAGAGACAAGTGCCCATGTATACTTGTATATAAAAATCTATGTTTGTACACCTAAAATAGGGCTTTACACATAATAGGTATCCTTTTCCTTAAAACCCCTAAAGTTCTTTCCTATCCCTTCCACATTCCTTGGTCTCCACCCCCGCCCCCTCTGACCCCCACAGTGTCTTCTGCAGTTTTCTTCTTAGTGCCCTTACATACACATTTTATTTATACTAGATAAAATGTGCTGTTTTTAAAGATGGGAACATAATCTTCAGAGACTGATTTGTCCAAAGTTTATGCCTCATGACATTTTCAAATTGCATCTTTAAAACAATTTTTGCTTTCATTTAATTTTGCTAACCCAATTCTTCTGTGTTAACTATGTTAGGAAGCCAAAAATTATATTACAATATTAGGTTAAAGTTGAAAACTAGTAAATAACTTACCAATTGCCCCAATTTTGAAATCCTGCAGCCTGAAGCACATGTACAGCAAACTGACAAATATAGACGAAGAAGAATACAAAGAATCTGAATGAACTGTCACTCCTTAAAAAAAAAAGAAAAAGAAAAAGAAAAAAGGGTAGGAAGAAAGAAGATGTCATTTTTCTCATTATCTTTACATTTACATGCAGAATGACACTCAAATCTTCAAAGTACAAACAAGAAAAGGGGCAACCGAGGCCTCAAGTTAGTAACAATGTAATAACTTATGTGAACTCGTCATGCTAACACTAGATACCATTATTCTAATTTCACTTTGTCCTTTCAATTTCCAACTGCATCACAATTAATCTTGACCAAAAACCTTGTTTTCTTCTTTTATTAAATATCATCATAGAATTATACATATAATGAACATACAATAAATTACAAATATTTAAAATATTGCTTTAATAATTTTTGACATATTTATATATCTGATTCCCCAATCATTATGGTGAGCATATCCACAAAGTTTCCTTGAGCCCCTTGGTAGCCCTACCCTACCCACTGCTTTTCTGTTACCATAGTTTGACTATTTTAGAGTGTTATATAAATGGGATCACATATTACACAGTATTTTTTTTTTTCTTGTCTGGCTTCTTTTACTTAGCACAACTATTCTGAGATTCACCCAGTTTTGTGGCACATATCAAAAGTTCATTCCTTTTCATTGCTGAGTAGTATTCCATAGTGTAAATATAGCATAGTTTATTCATTCACTGTTGACAGACATTTAGTTTTCTAGTTTATTATAAAGTTATTATCAGTTATTAATAAAGCTATTAATAGTCATATACAAGTCTTTCCATGAACATATGTTTCCTTTTTCTCTTAGGTAAATACCTACAAGTGGGAAGGCTGGAACATATCACAGGAATATGTTTTAACTTTTTAAGAAACTACCAAACTGTTTTACAAACAGGCTGTACTATTTTTCATTCCCACCTGGCAGTACATGGGCTGGAATATTCTAGTGCCTTCACATCTCAGTAACACCTGTTATCGTCTTTTTAATTCTAGCTATTCTAATAGCTGTACAGTGATATCTTATATGGTTTTAATTTGCATCTTCCTAATAAGTAATGTTGTTGAGTATCTTTTTATGTGTTTTGTCATACATATATAGCTCTTTCATGAAGTAATTAAAATATTTTTCTGATGCTGTAATTAGATTGCTTTTTCCCTTACTGTTGAGTTGTGGGAGTTTTTAAAAGTATATTCTGGAAATTCAAGTCCTCTTTCAGATAAATGTTTGACAAAGATTTTCTCCTAGCCCTTGCTTGTCTTTTCATTCTCTTAAGAGTGTTTTTTTGGGGTGGGGAGCAGGCATAATGGCTCACACCTGTAATCTCAGTTATTCAGACCCAGAGGCAAAGGGATTACTTGAGGCCAGGAGTTTTACACCAGCCTGGACAACACGGCAAGACATCCATCTTCTTAAAAAAAAAAAAAAAAAAAAAAAAAAAAAAAAAAGCAGCAGCAGCAGCAGACAGTTTCTTCTAAAGAGGTATTTTGCCTTTTTATTAAGTCCATTGTATTCACTTGTTCTTTTATAGATCTTTATTTTATTGTTTCTGAGAAATCTGCCAAAGCCAAGGACATAAAGATTTTTTTTCCTGTTTTCTTCTAGTTTTGTATTTTCAGTATTACATTTAAAACTGAAATGAGTTAATTATTTTGAGTTAATTTTTTAAAATATTTTTGAGTTAAGTTTTTAAAATTAACTTTGAGTTTTTAAAAATATCATATCACGGTGGCTCAAGCCTGTAATCCCAGCACTTTGGGAGGCCGAGGCGGGTGGATCACGATGTCAAGAGATCGAGACCATCCTGGTCAATATGGTGAAACCCCGTCTCTACTAAAAATACAAAAAAGTAGCTGGGCATGGTGGCGCGTGCCTATAATCCGAGCTACTCAGGAGGCTGAGGCAGGAGAATTGTCTGAACTCAGGAGGCGGAGGTTGCGGTGAGCCGAGATCGCGCCATTGCACTCCAGCCTGGTTAACAAGAGCGAAACTCCGTCTCAAAAAAAAAAAAAAAAAAAAATACCATATCAAGTATGAATTCAAGTTCTTTTTTGCATGTGGCTATCCAATTGTTCTAGCATCATTTCTTAAAAAGACTGTCCTTTCTGCATTGCATTTCCTTTGCACCTTTCTCAAAATTAGTCATCTGTCTACGGGTGGGTTTATTTCTGGGCTCGCCATTCTCTCCCACTCTTCTATTTGTCTACCTTTTTGTCAATATCACACTATTTTGATTACTGAAGTTTTCTAATAAGTTTTCAAATTAGGTAGTGTTAGTCCATCAACTTTATTGTTCTTTTTCAAAATTGTTGTAACTATTTTAAGGTTTTTACATTTCTATAACTAGTGTACAAACAGAGCAATGACTTAACATGAACATAGTAAAGCAGCAGTCCCCAACCTCTTTGGCACCAGGGACCTGTTTTGTGGAAGACAATTTTTCTATGTATGGTGGGGTGGGATGGCTGCAGGGTGAAACTGTTCCATCTCAGATCATCAGGCATTAGATTCTCATAAGGACCATGCACCCTAGATCCCTTGCACACACGATTCACAATAGAGTTTGTGCTCCTATGAGAATCTAATGCCACTGCTGATCTGACAGGAGGCAGGGCTCAGACGGTAATGCTCGCTAGCAGCTGCTCACCTCCTGCTGAGTGGCCCAGTTCCTAACAGGCTAGGGACCAGTACAAGCCTGTGGCCCAGGGGTTGGGGACCCCTGCTCTAGAATCAGCCATTTCCCCAAGGTACAAAAGAGCAAATTTTAATGATTCATTAATAATGTTTTCTGTATCAGCCAGATTTAAATTAAATGGTTCCACATCTTATAGTAATCGTGTCAGTACTCTATTACACCAAAGCTGGTGTTAATGACCATAAAGCTGAGAAAACTTATTAATGAAAAATAGCCAAGAACAAAATCTACAATATAAAATGCTATTTTTATTAATACCAAATAGAAATCCTATGTATGACTCATCTCTCCAGGCTCACATGCAAACCATTACTTTAATAAACAGTTTTCTTTTACTATTTTGAAACAGACACTTCTAAAGTATATTTCTATTTCTCTCTCCCTCTGGCAGAGAATGAAGAATAAAACTTAATATCCTTATTTTTCACCTAGAGCTGTTACTTCTATTTTGTGTGCCAAGAAACCAGACTATTGAAATGTTCTATATTATAAAGTATGTGCTCCAAAAAGGGGTCAAATAATATCTACAGGCTTCACAACAGCTATGTCCATTACCTTGGTTCCAAATTCACAGACACGTTCTAGAAGCTGAAACTGCCTAATAATTTCTACTTAAGAAATCTATTAGAAAATACTGAATATGTTTTAAAAATTAAGAAGTCCTACTCAAAAACTATTTCTAAAACATTGCTTTCAAATACAAATGAAGTTTTTTTAAAACTAGTACATCTTCCTTTTTTTGTATGTACAGTTAGTATGCACAAATACAGTGTACAAAACTAATCAAATGAAAAACCTCAAAGTCTACTTTTGTCTAGTTTTATTTTAAACAAAGCTAAATAAAAGATACTAAGCAGGTTAAATATCATTCTCAATATTTTATATTATTTATTTTGTTTTCCCAACTTTTCTATTTCTGAATAAGGGGACAATAAAATTCATTTCATTGTATACTGACCATTAATATAAATGATTATTTTAAAACATTTCGCCAGGCGCAGTGGCTCAAGCCTGTAATCCCAGCACTTTGGGAGGCCGAGGCGGGTGGATCACTAGGTCAAGAGATCAAGACCATCCTGGTCAACATGGTGAAACCCCGTCTCTACTAAAAAATACAAAAAATTAGCTGGGCATGGTGGTACGTGCCTGTAATCCCAGATACTCAGGAGGCTAAGGCAGGAGAATTGCCTGAACCCAGGAGGCGGAGGTTGCGGTGAGCCGAGATCGCGCCATTGCACTCCAGCCTGGGTAATAAGAGCGAAACTCCATCTCAAAAAAAAAAAAAAAAAAAAAAAAAAAAACGGCATTTCAAAGTTCTCTAAGACATAAACTCCATATCCCAGCACTTACTTAACTACCTAGAGTCTTATCTCCAAGGGAGCACAAATCTTCCTTTACCTGAGCTGTCCATATTACTGCCAATACAAAATCAGTCAAATTCAAAACAAACTGAAGCAATACAATCATCACATGAGTATCAGGTTCCTTTCAGATGCTTGAGGGAAGGGCCAGCTGAAGCTGAGGGGCTCTGGAAGAGCCAGAAGACCCCCAGGAGGGCTGTACCTCCACCAGAATCAGAAAAGGTCCAGAAAAAAAAAAAGAAAAGAAAAAGAAAAACATCATCGGGTAAGAAGAATTTCTACTGGCATTCAGAACCAAAGGCAGTGGGTCTCGCATGCAGGAAGAGATTAGAAATCACACTGTTTAAATCAGCTTGAACATAGCCATTTTAAACCAAACAAAGAACAGATATATAGATTTTTTTTTAAACACTATCCATTGATTTAAGCTATGTGACTTAAATTGTAATCTGCCTCAGTTTATGATAAAGTATTTATAGTATCATGGATATTTATTCATAATAAATACACCTAAGTAATGTACTTCCTCATCAGAATATATAAATAAAAGCTCTCTACTACTTGCCATCCTGACTCTTTCAGATCAAAGCCTAATGGAAAACTGAATTTCAAATATGCAAGTGGTTTTTGGTTTAACATCTTCTACAGCCAAGTTGCAGCACAATTTTAATGGAAAAGTTCTTCCCTAACTTACAATAAATCTCAGAAAATCAGCTTATTTGATGTCATGAAGTTTATTTCACATGCTAAATCAATACCAGAGGTATTAGTTACAACTACTATTTGGGGGAAGAGGAAAAGACAAAGTATTTCATTATTTCAAAAGGCTAAGAGAAGACGTGGGGACACAGTTAACTGAAGTACAGCACTAAATGTCTTTAACTCTGGCAACTCAACACAGCGGATAAAAGAACATGAATTTAAAGACAGACTTGGTTTGAATCCAGATTCCCCAGTTGTGTAACTCTGGGTAAAATATTAA